CATAGACAAGCATTAACACCAAACCGGCAGCAGCAAAGCTGAAGGGATGAGCCAAGGAATCTGGAGTTTTATAGCAGAGGGATCTCCGTCTCACTGCAGGACTTTTATTCTTCCGTTTTCCATCTTTTGGTTTTGGATTTAATTTTGAAATAAGAATCAGCTTTTCTGAACTTTTGTTTTCAGTGACTGAGTTTGATTAAACGAGCTGCCCTAACCCCGGAGCTCTGCTCCAGCAGACCGGCCGCAGCAGATGGAACGACTCCTCTGCTGAGCAGCTCCTCAGACGGAGCACGGAGACGATCTCGGTGATGCTTCAGGTGCAAGTGAAAGTCTTCTGCTAAAGAGACTTTCTGGCTCTTTTCAAATAGGAACTTTTAGGAAACTCTGGAGAGAAAAATCAATTATCAGTTTGAGTGTAACGGTCTGTGACATTCAGCAGAACATCACCAACGATCGGCCTCGCCTCCGGAGTCACAAACTGTTTCTGGACCAGCTGTGAAACCGGGCCCGCTGTCAATTACAGAGGCAGGAAAATTAAAATAAGACACCGGTCGGTTTGTTGCAGGTTATTCCTGATCTGTGCACCCGGAGCCTCCCGGGAGAAACCGTCTGAAGGCTGAACAAACACTTTAACGAGGCTCCGCGGCTGTTTTAATGCTCCACATCAACACAATCGACTGTGTGACACCAGAACTAAATGCCAAACTGCTGCTAAAGAGCAAAACTGCTGTTGGAAGTCGCATCCTTTCTGATGCTGTAACATGGAACACAACGCTGCCCCCTGGTGGCTCTCCAGAGAAACAGCTGAAAGCAGAAACCGTTCATAACGGGACAAATGCAGGTGAAGACTTTAGGATTACCTTAAAGTAATCTCAAAAACGAACCTCAAGGAGAAAGTTCTGGGAATAGAGATTAAACCATCCTGTGATCTTCGGCCCAGAGAGAAAAAGGAGCAGCCGGTCCTGCTTCTGACTTGCTTCAGTGTTGGATCAGTGTTCTCTGGTGAAGGAAGTTCCAGCTGAGGTTATCCAGCTACATCAGGACCACATCTGTTACAGCGGTCTCAAGCGGGGACCGGTTCTGGACTGTCCTTCTGACCCACAATACAAAAGCATGGCTGAAGAAGTGGACGGGTCCAGGACCTGAATCCTAGAGCCTCAGTGCGGGCCGGCCCAGCCGTAGGGCTAAGGTGAGGAGCCGCTGCCCCTCCTCATCAAAATGAGCTGAGGCGGGTGGAGCATTCAGTTTGTTTACCACCACCCGTACACACCGACTATCAACCCGCCACACCTAAACCGAACAGAGACAAGAACATCCTCTGATCCAAACGTGTAGATCTACCTTATCCGGATTCTCAACCAGTGGGATGCGAGGGGGACTCAGAGGAAACCTGTGAGTCCTTTCTCCTGACGTGATGCTCTGCTGTGGCCAAAATTCAAACTCGGAGTTAGATCTGCATATGGAAACCCGCGGGTGTCGGACCGACGGCCCCGTGGAAGACGAATGGTGTTTATCAGCGCAGGATGCCGTCTAATTAGCGTTTTTCTTAAAGGTTGTATTTATTAGTATCCATCATCGCTGTCGTTACATCAATTAATACTGTTGACGGGTCATAGACCCCCGCCTCCATCCTTCACCAGCAGAAGAACCTCCTCTCCACCCGCTGGCATTAAAGGCCTGTCATCCCAGCATGCCGCGGGGCTGCCGGCCGCAGCCCAGCGGTGTCAATTAAATTTGATTGACTGAGTAAAAGAAGCACACAAATAAGCCAAAACAACAGACACAAAAATCTATACATGACTCCCCCCCCCCCCCACACACACACCCCCCACACCCCCAAAACTCCCCACAAGCCCCCTCCGCCCCGCCTGTCAAATCAAACGCTTGTCTCACCCGATTTCACGGTATGTGCTGCAAGTCTGTTAGTGTGTGTGTGTGTGAGAGAAGGCATCAGACCCCCCCCCCCCACACACACACACACACACACACACACACACACCAAGCAAACAGAGTGAACCAATTAGCGGCTGTGAGGCTTCGTCCGCGCTGCACAGCAAAGGCTCCTGGGTATTGACTCAAACTGTTGTCCAATAAATGAGGTCTAATTTATCAGTTTACCTTCACCCCCCCCCCCCCCCCACACACACACACACACACACACACCCTGAAGAAAGCAGGAGGACGGAGGAGGTGGAAACAAATGGCTCCAGTTTTTTGTTTGGTGAGCAGCGAGGTGGGTTTGTGAAACCCACCATCCTCCCGCGTCTCGTCCGAGTCTCCCGTTGTCGTGCTAATTGTCAGTCTGTTAGCTCATGTTTCATATTTGCTGTGATGATTGAGGGGGGCCATTAGAGCGGACCCCATTAGACTCCGTGGGGAAGCAGCCGGCCCTGCGTGGGAACCATCAAACACCAATTCGCTTCCCAAACACCATAAATCTGCCCTGTTAAGTGACTGTTTTTGATGCCGCTGAAGCGCGCAGAAATAAATATTAGCTCTGTTATATATCGTTCATTAAATTACCAGTGAGTACAATTCACACGCATCATCCATCTCCATCAGAGGAGGTCCAAAGTGGGGTCCTGGGACCTGCAGAGGACCTCTAACAGAGCGACAGGAGGCCTCAGAGGAAACAGTGTTTATCTAAAATACCTGGTAACCAGTTTAAATTGATGAAGATCTTATGTGTGGAAAAACACGAGAAGTTTTACTCCTGCAGAAAAACATTTCTGCAACATTTACTTTGATCGTACATGTTGGGCTGGGATGAGTTTCCTGAGTAGGGTGTATTTTTTATTTTTTTGCTAATTTCCCAACGACCTTGCCTTTTTCCTACTAAGGTTCTGCACTGATAACTATTTTTGAAACAAATTTTAAATGCTTGTTTAGATTTTGTCTAAGTTTCTTCACCAAAATCCTCCAGGCTGAAAAGATTTAATTAGTTTTATTTCTCTGATCCGAGGTCAGTTTTAGGAGGGAAACTCGGACATCTCAGTCTCCACTAACAAAGGTTTAAAATCATATTCCTGTCTCCTCTAAGGTGAACTTTAACTGTACCAGGTTCTGCAAATTGGATGTGCAGCTGGAAGCTAACAATGCTGTTAGCTTAATTGATAACTAGCTAGTAAGCTAGTTACCAATTAAGCTAACAGCATCGTTAGCTTCCAGCTAAATGTTAGCATTAACAACAGGGTGGCTAATCTTTAGAGAAACTCTAAATTAGTAAACTTTGTGTTGAAATTAAAAACTAACAGCAGAGGTGTTTATAAAACTCACATTTACCTGCTGAACAGGTGTTAGTTTGTATGACTTCAGAGTCTTTGAGCTAACTAGCATGATAAAGTCGTCTTACTGTAACTCGGACCCACGCTGGTCCTGATGGCCAGGAGCTCCAGAACTTTCTTCACTCTTTCTTTAATCCCATCAGAACAAAGTAAAAGAGAAATTCGGATTTTAAAAACCTTTTTTTAGTGGAAGTTTGTATCTAAAGGAAGCACACAGCGCCTCCTAGCGGCTGGTCCAGCTTTAAGCCCCGCCCTCTCCGTTTTCCTGACAAGAAAAAATCGATCTTTTATTTTTTCCAGGTGATGATGTATATTTAAGTCCATGGTGATGACTAGCTCTCACCTTGCTGCTGGCGGTTGGGATATTCATGCTTCTGTTATTTGATGCCTAATAAACATCACGACTGTGTTCAGTTGAGTGGGTGCAGCTTTCAGCCAACCAGGTGAGGCTCTTAACCAGGGGCGTAACCATCATCTCAAAAGTGAGGGTGACAATTTTTTTTCAGAGTTATTTATCGTCTTCTTGCATTCAATCTTACATTTCTTAGTAAACAAAAAACATTTAATTACTGGTTTAGTTATTAGTGAAGTGGTTCAAAGACAGTAATGATTATTACTATTATTTCATTTTAAAGTTACAGGGCGTCACCTGCTTAGCAGGAACAGTAAAAGCACAATGCTCCTTCAACAACTGGGATTAAATGAAGCCAGGGGAAAGTCACATACCACTCTCTCTGAAATCTAAGAGTTTTATCACTCTACTTTTGACACACAATGGTCTTGGGATCTGGCTGATGTGGCTTTAGAGTGGTCACAGGAAATCCATCCCCTGCTCTACACAGTCTGAAGGCTCTCCCTGACCGTCAGTGCTGCAGCCTGGTCTCTGCCCCGACACATGGCCCTCTTCCTGGGCTAAATATTAAATTACAGAGAAAAATTGTTTAAGTGTTAATGAGAATAATTCTGAAAGATCTTTGAAACCCCTTTCTTAAGGCCTGCCTAATTTCTTCCATCTCTTATCATGTTCTAATCTCTCCTTACCCGGAGACCCTCATCACCATCTCCGATGCTGTCCTTTGGTCTGATGCCTCCTCCCTGACTCAGCTCATTCTGTTGTGGCTATATAGGTAAAGGTGGAAAATAAAATATTGGAACAGAGTTAGGATAAGCGCCAGTATTATTACTATGGAAATTAACCTCAAATCTCTTGATGCCATTATTCTAAACACTAAATCCTAATCTGGTTCTAAAAACACATCAAGGCAGATCTTGTAAACAGAAAATCTCTGCTGCTGGAGACAGGTCTGACCTCTGTGGTTCACCTTTTCTACGACTGCAGGGTTTGATTTGGTGTTTAGGAATAAATGTCTGAAGTCCTACAGAATCATCTCTTCTCTATAAATATAACCAGGGTTGGCCAAAGTGTGGCCTGAGAGCCTTTTATGGCCCTCAACTCTAATTCTAGAACATAATTTAGGTCATTAATGGTTTGTGTTAAAAGGTAAAAGAATTATATCAATATGAACACTTAACTTTTTTACATTAAAAACATCTGAAACGTTTGACCTCGCTACAGTAAATCGGTAAGCTGCTTATTCAGGGAAGTAGAAAAAACATGTCTGTTTTTATTTAGAAAGCAAAGTTCGCCAAAGACAGAATCCTGATAGTAAAAGAGGCGTTTTCTTAAGTCCGCCGTGAAAAACAACACGACTCCGGTTAAAATTCCAGAAAGATTTATTCCATCCTTTGTGACGTTTAAATAATAAAAAGTGTTTGTGTCTGTACACGCTGGTTATTAAAATCTGAGCTCAGATCGGTTTCTGTCAGCATTCACGGATATGCCCCGATGAAGAAATCCTCCGGGTGAGGAGTTTGTCTGACTCTGGTTCAACGACCAAACTGATCCTAAACCTCCAGGAAGTGACATCAGAAACTAAAACACCCACTTGGTCCAACAGGAAACACCATGATGTGTTGAATGGCGTCAGTTTGATTTGACTATTCAGCAACAAATCTTTGATCATACCTGTATGGGCGGGTTTAGGGAGTTCCAGACATCAACAACTGGAATCCATCCGGACATTTTGAAGATTCGTTTTATCAGTTGTTTACCTACAATAAGGACCACAGCCTCTGGTGACATCACTCCAGGTGGGCGGAGTCTCTAGAAACAGTCGGGCTCAATCCCAGCAGTCGCACTTCGCCCTACGGACTTCTGTGAAGTGCACTTGGAGGAAGTGCACAGAAAGGATTCGAGTGTGCGGTTCACAGGTGTGCAGAGAATTGCCGAATTGGGACGCTGCTGGAGGTTTCTTCCTGTTAAAAGGGAGTTTTCCTCTCCACTGTCGCTGCATGCTTGCTTAGTATGAGGACTGCAGTAAAGACTCTGACACTAGTCAGTGACTTGATGCAACCTGCCGGGCTCCTTATATAGGAAACTTCTTAACGATTGGCTTAATGACCTGACCT